TGCTCTTGGTCGGGGCGGGGGGTGGGGGGTGTCTCTGATCACCCTGCAGAGGGCTCCGTCAGCATCCTGTCCTGTCTCTGATCTGCTCTCGCCAGGCCAGCCCACACACCCTTGGCCTCAAAGTGGGCATTCCAGGCCAGTGAATTTGGGTGATGTAAAAAACACGAAGGCAGAAATGTCAGAAGTAATTAAACCAAACGATGGCTTAAACCCCTGTAGAAATCAACACATCCGGTTTAATCACCTTCTTAAGCTAGCACAAGGCTGCAATTCTATGGAGAGGGGTTCTTTATTTCTTTGGATCGTTAACAGGAACTGCATATCTTGAGTTGATTTTACTTCAGATGCTTCTGGGGAGAGGGGATGAGGGTGGGGGTGAGGTGGGGGCTCGGGAAAGAAAAAAGAAATAATAAAATGTTATTTGAGCTGCTCTCTTCCCCTGTCTCGGATCTGAGTGGAGCTGAGCTGAGTCTCTCCCTCCCTCCTGCTCTGTCCGCTCCCCTCCAAGGCTCCCGCCCTCCCAGCACCCAGGCGGAGGCACAGTGCTGAATGTGCTAAATTAGGCCATTAGAGAAATTCATTTCTCTTTATTAGTCTGTGTCAAATCCTTTTTATTAGTGGCTGGAAACGACCTCTCTCCTGCAGTAAAATGTCATGCCAGTTCACTCCTTTTATTTGTTCTGCACTGACGAGGCTCAAACTCTCACTGAATTAGTGCAGTGAGATTTATTTCCTCCAAATTTTGAACGGCTTAAGAGAGATTGGGGTGGAGGGGGCGGTCGCGCAGGAGGCGACTCGTGGGCAGAAGAGCAGGCAGGGATCTGGGAGGGAGAAGGTGAGCTCTTATGGAGGTCAAATGTCCTCAGCTCTTTGGAAATAAAATCTAATGGCCATCTCTCACATCTTGTTCAGCGTCTCCTGGGCACTGGGGACTGCGGGTCCACGTTCTCACTGCTCACTCCTGAGAGACATTGGTCCGCAGTGGAGGAGAGCTGGACAAGAGGAGGAGGAAGGTATCACCATCCTCTAGTTGGACAAGCTGAGGCTCAGGGCAGGCCAAGATGCCACATCGAGAGCATCCTTCTTCCCACCCGATCCCTGGCTTGAACGGACAGGGCTGCTCCTGTCCCAGGTGGCTTAGACCCCGCTCTCAGGGGGGTGGAGTTGAAGTGCTGGAGAGGACTCTTGAAGAAGGGTTGCCGGCCTCATCTCCTACTCTGGTGGTGATGGTGGAGGGTAGCCGAGAAAGGAGAAGTCAACCCTTAGGTCAGCACAGGCTTAACTGCTGGGCAAGAGCAGGTGGCTCTCCCATAACTGGGTTGGGGACAGCCCTGGAGGAGCCCAGGGCCATGGCTGCAGCCTTAGAACTCAGTGGGATCTCTGGGGAACTGAGCCTAGCTCTCAGGAGGCAGTGCAGTGCATGAGGTGGCAGGGATGTAGTGGGGCATTATCGGGTAATTTAAGGGGATAGAATGTGAGAACCACAGGCAGCCCCACCCACCCTGGGGCGGTTTCTAGGAAAAGCTCTAATGGTGTCTGAGCTCTGTGAGGTGGGCCCCCCTACCAGGAGCCGGTGGGAGGAGCCTCGCGCGGGAGCCTGAGAGAATGGGGCGTGAGGCCGGAGGATTTGGGAGCTGACGGTGTTGTGCAGGGCCAACGTGGGGAGGGGCTGGAGTGAGGTGACCAGGCCAGCACCCCTGACCTTAAGTAACCAGAGGGGAAGGATGGGCTGTGCACTCCCTTCCTCTGAGAGACAGCAAAGCAGAGAAAACACTCCAGATAGGCCTGCCCCCTCCACCGCTCCAACACACGCACAATACTCTCCATTTGGGGAGATCTGACGCCTGGATGCGAGAGAGGTTTATCAAGCATCCCATGCTCTGGTTCTGCAAAGACAGTGCGTGTTGTCCCCAGCTGTGTGACAATGCCTCCCACCCCATGATCTGACTCCTCCCGCCCTTTCAGCCTTCCCGCTCTCGGCTAGATTTTCTCCCAGAAGCGTGCCTCGCTCATTCTTATTTCAAGGGCTTTGCTTTTTCTCCTGCCTGGCACGCCTCCCCCTCGCCTCCTTACATGACTGCCTTCTCATCATTCGAGGCTTAACTTAAATGCCACCTCCTCAGAGAGGCCCGCCCTGACCACTCCTAGAAAAGCTACTCCTCCCTGCAAGGGTGAGAATAGGAGCAAAAGAGATGGCCCTCCCTCCTCGCACTAGTAGCTAGGGGGACTCCATCAGGGTAAATCCCTCCTCCTTACCCCATGCAACACTCAGAGTGTGTACATGGAGCACAGGACCCCGCAGCCATATCACACATATGGCAGGGTACATGCACACGTGTCATATCACAGCATGCAGATCCTGCACCCCAGTGGCACACACACAACCCGTATGTGTACATATACTGCGCAAATGCAACACTGGCTGTGCACACACCATGGAAACTGGACAGCACACGACACTCGCACCCTGCTCTCATTGACGCAGGCATTCAACCCCAGAGCACGGGCGTGCACACACACGCACACACGCACACACCATCCCCTCTCCGTGCTGCAGCTGCCCACCCTCCCTCCAACCAGCGAGAGAAGAATGTGCAGTGACCGCACGGCTGCCGCGGGGTTGGGGCGGGGGCTGTACCCCCGCCACCTGGCACAATGCTGTGGATTATTAGTTCCTGGTAATTTAGTGCCCTTGTACAGAGTCGATTTGTGCCTTTCATTCCTAATTGATCTAGTGGCTGTTTAAATGGCAGCAGGCATCTGTTGAGACTGGGAAGGTTCATAAGGCGCAATAATTCATAACACCGTCTGGAATTTGCCTTTCGTGTCCCTCAGCTAAACCACTGCAGGGCTCTGCTTAAATTACAGCCACTGAGGCTTTCTTTGGTATTCCACTCAGGGCCAGGAGAATCTTGCATTAAACTGGGATCAGGTTAGATTAGACTATAATATGCTGCAGCATTAGTGGCTGCAAATGAAGACTTACACTGAAGTTTAACCCCTTCACCTGGTTTTCTCTTTGTCTCCAGCCAGATGACTCACTCACTGCTTTCCCTACCAGTTTTCCACTGCAGCTCCTCTGGGAATTTAGTGATGCAGATGGGCCACCCTTCAGGATGGACCCTTTTTCCTACACACTGCACACCCAGTCTGCAGCCCTGGAGCCGGCAGATGGTGCACCAGTTCCCAAAGCAAAAGTCAGGGGGTAGTGTCCAGGGGCAGCCTCTACCCAGCCTAGAAACTTGTCTGAAGCAGGAATTCATCTCCCTACATGCACCTCTGAGCCTGAGAAGAAAGACCCATAAAGGAAGTGAGTGGATGGTGCAAGTGCTTTCTATCTTTTTGCCCAGAATTACTAGAATTCCAGAATGGGACAGGCTCCTAGGGTCACTTCTGCCCACTTACAAATCCCACATGGGCTGCATGCTTGGTCCTCCTCTCAGCGTGTGCAAGCATAGAGTGCTGGAGGGGAAAGTGATCTTTTCTCCTTCCCAAGGCTTCACTGCGTTCTCCAATACGGTGGCCACTAGCTACATGTGGCTACATAAATTTAAATTGAGTGAAAGGCAATAAAAATAAACATTCAGTGTTCCAGCTATGATAGCCCCGTTTCAAGGATTCATTGGCCTCATATGGTTGGTGGCTACCATTACTGGGCAGTGGAAAGTGCAGAGCATTTTCACCATTGCCCAAAGTTCTGTTGGACAGCGCTAGCTAGAACATCTCCTTTGGAGGAGACCTGGGGTCAGGTCCAACACATATTTCTCCTCCTCTCCCAACAAGCAGGCTTTCTTCGAAAAGAAAGGAACTAGATTTCATGGTCCCAGGAGTCGAAGGAGCAGCCCAAAGAGGGAGGTGCAGAAACTTTTTAGGGACTTCAGTGGAAGAGAACAGGGCTCTCCAGAGTCCAGTGTCTACAACCCATACACACGCATGCCCATATGCTGCAGAAATAAATGTGATGTGCACTAACGCATGCACTTAGCATGCATGGATCCACATGCCTTTGCTAGACTCTGAACATATGGAGGTGATTAGGTGAGCTTGACTCCTGCCCTCACATGGCTCTTAATCTCATGAGAAAGGAAAATAAATGATAGAGCAAACCACTCAGGAGCTATCAGCAAAGATTTAGGGGAGCAGTCAGGGAAGCTGGACTTGATATATCCAAGCTAAGCCATTTAGGTGAGCACTTCAGCTCAAGTATGTCCACCATAGAAACACACACATCTACATATTGACAGTCACTTACTCTTCATTCACTGATTCAGTCACTCACCAAGTATTTATTAATTACCTGCTATGAGCAAGTACAGCAGAATCCTAGAAATACAACAACCATTCATTCAGACAAGTGGAGTTGGAGGAAAACAGTGAGTGAATAATGATAAAAAATAATCTTTCAATTACAGTTGTGCTAGGAGTGTCGTGATGAGAAGGTACAGAGGGATACGACACACATAGCTGGGGTGTCTGACCTACACTGAGTGAGTTAACAGGACCGGCAGAGACATCCACCCACCATGTGTGGATGTGTGTTGGGGCTGACACATGTCCCCCTGACTACCCTTGCAAACACACAAGACTGGCTCCAGACAGCCAAGAATGGATCTGTGACCTTCCACTAACGTTCACGTCCAGGACTTCTCTGGACAATTCCTACGTTTCCTTCCTGGGTGGATTCTGAGCCAGACATGGACACCTGCTTCTTAAAAAGGCTTTAACCCATCGTCCCTCTGCAGTGTCCATGCAGCTTTATCTGACCAAAGAGAAAAGGTAAGAGCCCGTTGAGGAGGCCACAGGAACCGGGAGACTGGCCACTCTATGCTAGGGCACAAGCTGTTGCCATGAGGGCTGACCCTGAGGACCGTTCTCAAGAAGTGGGACCCCGGGAGAGGAAGTTGATGAGGATGTGGGGAAGGGAGCCTGGTGGCTTCTCAGCCCAGCCAGCAACATGGTCTCAGTGTGTGCGCATGTGTGAGCTCTTGATGTCCCCGCAGGCACCCTCTTTTCCCGCTCCTGACGCTGCTGTTTGAGAAATGTGAACAGGCCACCCAGGGCTCTGAGTGCATCACCTCCGCCAGCTTTGACGTGGACATCGAGAACTTTGTCCACCAGCAGGAGCAGGAGCACAAACCCTTCTTCAGCGATGACCCAGAACTGGACAATCTGGTAAAGACCCTGCACCCCCTACCCTGGCTCGAGTCTTCCTACCCTCTGATTCCCCCCTGTCCAGTGCCCTCAAAATGACCCTTTTGTGAATTCATCCAACAGTGAGTTGTGAGTGCTCACCATGGGGCCAGCACAAGATTCAACATTCTAGCAGCTGAGAACCATCTCGAAGTTCTTTAGAACCAGAGTTCCATGTTTAGGCTTTGATCTCCAAGTTCACCTTGTTTCTGCCCTTGGCAGTACCAGCCTCTTCCTGCCCTCCGCCTGGCAGTGTAGGCAGAAGGAGAGGAAGGTCAGAGCATGCTGCATGGCTGGGGTAGCTGTCCTGGGAGCTGGAGTCCTGGGATGTTCGCACACCTGCCTCAGGCTGCCAGGAGAGGAGCTGAAGCCTGGATGCTCCTGTGTGGAGGGTGAGGGCAGCAGGGGTGTTCATACACATCAACAGGAAAACCTAGACATGCCGTCGTGTTGAGAAGTCCTGCTGAGTTAGGAGGACTCCTCCCAGTTTGTCATCCAAATAATCATTCTCGTTTGATAAAACACACATGCTTGGGCTAGGCCACCTAGAAATGGTCACTCAGTAAGTTAGGTGGTGCCCGGTGAATCTACATTTTAAAAAGTTCCCCAGGCAATTGCAATCATCAGTTAGGTCTGGTAACTGCTGAGTTGGATGACAACTGAAATGCTCATCCAGTGCTGGGAACTCGAGAGAGTGACAGAGAGGCTGCCGTGTTCCTTCATCACTCCAAGTAGGCAACCTGGAATTGTTAAGCGCAAGCCTTGATTTTTTTTTCACTGGGTGCTTTGCCTAGAGTATGCACAGTGAATTTGGAAATTCTGCAGAACTCTCCCCAACAAATTGATTGATTATGGTGCTGACCTCTTCCGTGCACAGTGTAGCTGGTACCTGGTTTCAAAAGGGAAGGGAGACACACACATACACCCTGCATCTGCAGAGCAGATGTCAATGTTTTTGGTATTGTTCTGTGCTGTGAATTACCCACACCACTGCCTCTCTCAAGAGTTGAATGTGGTACTTTAAAGAATCCAGAAAAGCTACCCAGGGAGCCCATCCTGTCCTGGAAATTTGTGAAGCATTGTGATGAGGCTGGAATTTAAAGAGCAGAGGAGACCTCAGCCAGAGGATAAGCACTAACCTGCTGCCAGCAGCATTAGGGGAGGCATCTGAGTGCCCCAAATCTGTGTCTGGGGCTTCTTCCTCCTTGGTGGGGTTGGACAGCCCTTGCTTCCCAGGGCCCTGCTTCCCCTGCTGGACCCCCGTCTCTGGGACCCCCATGGAAAGTTTCCCCTGCACAGGTCCTGCAGTTGCTGGATCGAGGGCTGGTCGGTCTGGCCCCACCCTGCCCTTTGGCTGATGATGGCCATGGGCTGCAGTGGGGAAGCAGATCCTTAGAATCAGGACCCAGGCAGCCACAGGGCCAGGAGATGAGGCAGCTATTTCTGGGGGAACTGGAATGGACTGGGGGACCAGGTCCCACTCCCCTCGCTTGGCCCACACCTACAAATGAAAAAAAAAAAAAACACAAGACCTAGGTTGATAAGGAAATATTTAGCAGCAACCTGAGTAATGTGAAAGGATTTTTAACATTCTTCAGAGGCAGTAGTCCTGGGGAGAGAACTCTCACAGCCTTGCCCACTACCACCTGCCAGGTGAGGTGTGAAAGACCCACCAAAAGCAGCCTCCCGTTGTAGCACAGCCTGGGAAACACTCGAAAGCAGCCAGCCCCCAACTGACCCCTTGCCCCCAAGGCCTAGTTCTGCAGGTTCAGTTCACTCGAAGAGTCAGACTGCATGATTCCATGCAACAGCACTTGATTGAGAGACTGCTCCATGCCAGGCCTGACCTAAGGACATGAGTGGTGTAGAAACCACCAGACCTCGTATTCCCTGGTCCTCTGAATCAGGTGACTGGGCCAGGAGCATTCCAGCTGGCAGAGCAATCCTTGGGCATCTATTAGTTGGGCATCCATCTGCTCATGTGGACCTCATTTACTTAGATGAGGTAGCCAGAGTCAAGGACTAGGTGATTACTGATGGACTGTGTGAAAGGAGAGATTTGCAAGAGACTTAGGGACGAAAGACCCAAGCCTGGCGTCACCACTTAGTGTTTGTGTGATGTCATGATTCACCTCCCTCCGAGCGAGGTTTCCTCATCTGTAGACCAGCTACCCCTATGTTGTGTGACTTTAATTAAAAATTAATGAGTCAGCTCAGGAGACTGGCCTTTAAGAACACCTGGCCCCCAGAAGATTAATCTCAACTGCAGTATCGCTGCAGTAAGGTATTCCAGCTCCCAACCTCACCACCAAGAGGCCACGTGGCCCTGATGCTTTATCTAGGAGCTCAAGTAGTGCCCTTTGTGGCCCCACTGCTGGTCCTGTGTTGGGAACAGGAGAGGAAGAGTCCACAGGAGCCATCATTAGAACCAGAATCGTGTAGCCAGCACAGCCGAGATGCACATAATTAGAAATTAGAAAAAGGTCAGATCGCGTCATTATCAGCTCAATCAGCTGCCGAGTGCCACAGCCAGTTAATTTGGCATCTGTATTTTTTACAACCCCGCACACGTAGCCCAACGGACTGTAACTCTTTATCCGGACAGATATACTGCGCAGCCGAGCAGGGACATAAAATGAGAGACCCCAAGCAAATGAGCTGAGATAATTGAGAGATTTATTTTTTATATATATGTGTGTCAGGGCGGCTTTCTTTTGCCCTTGAATATCGACTTTCATCGATGGGATTGGCAGGAGCGCACGTGGGTCCCCCAAAACTTTGCCCCTCAGCAGGGCCCCTTCCTCCACGCACCCCCAGGCTGCCTAGCCCTGCTCTGGTGCTCCCTACTCCAACCCCTCCCCCACTTGGATGCCATCCTCCCCCTCCCTAGCGGGTCCCCCTCCTCTCCCGCAAGCATTTGGGGCTTGCCCATATGCACGCCCAGTGCACGCGTGCCTATGCACCCCACAGTGTCCCAGAGGGGCTTTTTCAGAGTTAGGGACAGCTGAGAGAGCAGAGACAGGCTCCCAGACTGTCCATTCTGAGGGCACTTCCCTCCCTCCCTCCCTCCCTCGGGAGCCCAGGGCTCCCACAGCACCTCTGCTGGAGGAGAAAGAGAGCCATAGAAAGTTAGGGGAAAAACACAACCCTAGGCAGAAGCGAGTCGAACTCCCCGCCCTGCCCTCCCTCCTGTTTTCTAGACAGAGAGAGGGGTCCAGAGAAAGGAGTGACCTGTCAGGGTCCTTGACCCCCCCTGCTGCTGTGCCCCACTGCACGGGGCCACTTCTTGCTGCCCGAAGCCTCGCTTACAAATAAGATAGGGGTTCACCCTAGCGCTAATGGTGCCAGCATCCCACATCAGACTGCCTGGGTTTGGTTCCTGGTTCTGGCTCCCACTTCTAGCTTCCTGCAGACCCTGGGAGGCAGTGGTGATGCCTCAGGTAGTTGGGTCCCTACCACCCACAAGGGAGACCTAGATGGAGCTCCAAGCTGCTGGCTTCTGCCAGGCCCAGACCCAGTCAGTGTGGGCATTTGGGGAGTGAACCCGTGGATGGAAGTTCTTTCTCTCCCTCTGTGTGCATGTGTGTCTGCTTTGCAAATAATTAAATATGTCTTTAAAAGATTGTGCCACCAAGCTCTTTTCCTGGCACCTGCCCTCTGATGCTCTCTCTCTCTCCAGCTCCACACGATGGTGCTAAGCTAGAATGCCCCCCTGGGAAGTTCCTGTTCCCACACCTACCCGGTGCTCACCAGGCCCATTTCTTCCTTGGCCCCCAGACCCCCTCTTTGGGCCCAGCAGCCTCTGACTGGCAGTTGGTAAAGTTTGTAAAATTTGCAAGTTCCCCAAACCCCTTTGAAAGGTAAAAGCTTTTTGTTTTATAAAATCAGATTTACAGGCCCCCAGTGCTGGGCCAGGGTTTTATATATTATGCAAGATTTCAAACCAAAGCTATAAAATGGAGGGTTTCAGTTTCATGCATGGAATTTTTTTATGTGTAAATTTTTTAACATTTATGGGGCACGTTTTAATGAGACTCTGGTGTGGCTCAAGGGACAGATTACAGCTACCTGACCACAAAGCCAGCTCAAAAACGGGGCCTCCCCAGACCCCTGGGCCCACTCTGAAGAGCAAGGCCAGAGGCTGGCGGCTGTGACTAGGATGGCGCAGGAAGCAGCGAGCGCGCGCAGAGCTCGGAGCCCACAGAGACCGTGGGCCAGCCCTGTTCAGAGAGTTTCTCACTGCAGCCTTCAACCCAGGCTGCCTGCCAAGATCAGAGTAGAAGAGCCCACAGACACCAGAAAAAGAAGAGGAAATAAGAATAATCCAACAGCCGTAATAATGAGCATTGATAGAGCTCTTACTGGGTGCCAGGGACCAGCCTAAACACTTTTCACATAGTCTCTTGTTTAATCTTTGTTCCAAACCCACAAGACACACATTGACGCAGTCCTCATTTTAGGATGAGGCCATGGAGACAAGAGGTGACGTCCCTTGCACAGGACCGCATAGCCAGGACGTGGTAGAGGCAGGAATCTGCACGCTAAACAGTTCCACCGCCCACAGCTAATCTTGTTTCTCCTTCCATGCTCCCGGTCTTGTTTTGAGTTTCTTTCTGGCCGCATCTCATTTAATCCTCAGTGCGATTCTGAAGGAGCTTCTGTGATCTTCCTGTCTTCCAGCTGAGGAGATGAGAGTTCAGAGATAAAGTAGACCGTCCAAGGTGACACAGCAGGTGGGAGAGCCAGACTCTCAGCCTCTAAGCTCTTGAGTACTTGGCTATGTCATTCTCACGATAGCCCAAGAGCTAGTTGTTATTACCCCCATTTTACAGGCGAAGAGATCAAGGGCTAAGGACCCCACAATCTGGGATTTGGATAAGTAAATCCAACCCCTGAAAACCCACCCTCTGTCATCAGAACCCCACTGATTCCCCAGGATCTGAACCTGTTGGAGGGGAAGTGTCAGGTTCTTAGCTCAAAAG